AAATAACTCGCATAGCAAGGATTCTATCGTCTGTCTTCCTTCTCACAAGTTTCCCAGTCCATTCCACCATCCAGTTGGATGTTTGAGCTTGTAAGCGCCAAGGGACCACAGGTGTTCTGGAGCTCCTACAGCTCCAGCTGCATGACTTGGGCAGGTACCAAGGAGGATTAGCGATAAGAACATTCAACTATAGCATGATACTGAGGAGAGAGGTCACACCTGGGAAAGGCAGCAGCCAAGTTCACAGCCAAGCTAAGGAGAAAGGATGAAGGCTTCCTCATAAGAAGTGTAGTCTTTTCCCATGGAAATTTATGAGTCTAGATATGTCATTCAAAGATATCAAGAAAACTAATATTTTTGAGGCTATGTTTTAGTTTGAAAAAATGATAAACTTTTGGATACAGGACAGTTTTTTATCCTACAGATCTCTGATGAGAAAACTGGAAACAAACATCATTAATTTTTCTTTCAACAAGGCTGTGTCAATTCTCTTAAGAGAAACTTTGTCTGGATTTTACATAAAGCCATTTCTATCCCTTCAGAGCACAAAGAATCTGTGAAGAAATCTAGGCAGAACATGGTGTTCGGACTTTAATTTTACTCACCTGCAAACTATCCCCTTTCCATCATAATTTTATTTAAATCATGGTTATGTTCTTAATTAACAGTTTAATTGGTTGGTGCTTTCTCAATCCAGTTCTCTGGAGGCATGGTTTTCTGTTTAACTTTGTTTTAATTCTTCAGCAAAACCATAAAATTTAATTAGGAGAGTAACCAGTTTGTAACAGCAGTTCTCTGTCTAATTAGCTATGCCCTGACCATACTGTCTCAGATTCCATTCAACAATGCACATACACTTTGCATTTGTTCAGGTTTCAGATAAGGCACTGTGAATTTAGCCTAAGCATATATTCCAGTTTCTTTTCACTTTTCCATAAATGCTTGGTTACAGTCAGTGAAATCAGAAAAAGTAACTTAAAGCATTCATATATGCTATTAAACCAACAGCCATCAAAGGCCAACATGTAGGAATGCTATCTTACCGTGCATATTCGTTTCTATTGCTGCAGAACAAATTACCACAAACTCAGCTTAAAATAATACCCATTTATCATCTTACAGTTCTGTAGGTCAGAAGTCCAGACACAGCTGGCTGGATTTTTTCTTCAAGATCTCACTGAGCAAAAATCAAGATAAAAGCTGGGCTGGGATTTCATCTGGACCTCAGGGTTGTCTTCCAAGCTCATAGGGTTGTGGCAGAATTCAGTTCCTTATGGTTGTAGGACTGACATCTCCATTTCCTTGCTGCCTGTCAGCTGCAGAGGCTCTCACATCCTAGCAGCCACTGTCCTTATCACATGGCTCCCATGGGCAGTTCACAACATAGCAGCTTGACTATGTGCCAGGGGGAGCACTTCTCTGACTTCCTCTGCCAACAGCCAGAGAAAAACACTCTGCTTTTAAGGGGCTCACCTGATTAGGTTAGGCCCACCCCAGGTAATCTCCCTCCTGCTGCATAATACTTTACATATCAAGAGAATGACTATTCTATCATATTAACAGGCCCCAGCCCACACTCAGAGGAGGGATTATGCAGGGTGTACACTATGGGGCAGAAATGCTGGGGCCACCTTAGAATTCTGTCTACCACACTGTGCTGTAGGGAAAGAAGGCAACTCAAGGCCTCCCAGCAAACCCTCCTCTCTTCCCCTTGGAGGCGGTGTACAGGGTGTGCAAAGGAGCTGTTAACAATGGCCCCAATTCTGTCCCATCGGCTCCACAGGGCATCAGATGACAGACACTCATATTCTTTCTTCTCTGCAGGCATTTTTCTTTGCCTGGCCAGAACTGCTGCTTTCTGTAGTGCAAGAGGATCACGCGATGAAATCATATGAATTTAAAACGACCTCAAGTTACCATGATGCTTATTGATAGAAATTTAGTTAAGCTCAGTGCCTCAAACTTCAGCCTAATAAAACAATTTCTTTAGTGAAAGAAATGAAAATGCAGAAAAGAGTTATTATAGCAGGCCCGAATCTGCTAGACTTAGAACGGCCTGCCTGCAAGACGGGCACGGGGACTTAGATTGTGGGAGGGTCCCTACCATCCTAACCGAGAAGAGCAATTCACGGTGCCTAAAGTGTCTGTGCAAACAGTATAGCTCGTGCTGAACACCTGCTCTCCTGCAGGAGCCTGGAATTCTGGCGTGTGTGAGGCAAGGGGGCTACGTAATTAGGCTCAATAAAATCCCCAGGCGCTACATCTATGGCGAGCTCCACATGTGTCATCACAACTTGTTACCGAGGGAATTAAGAACATTCTGTGAGACTCTCCTGGAAGACTATTCTTGGAAACCTGTGCCTGGGTTCTCCTGGACTTCATGCCATGTGCCTTTTCTTTTTGCTCATTTTGCTTTGTATCCTTTTGCATAATAAATCATAGGTCTGATTAGGACTATAGGCTGAGCTGTGAGCCTCCTCCTGCAATCACTGAACCTGGGGGTGGTCTTGGTGACCCCTGGCTCAAGGAATAAAGTAAGAGCATGATAATGGTCACATTCTGAGACCAGGCTCCAATGCCCTGCAAACTTGGCCTTAATCCTCTCCATTGTGAAGACGATCAGAGTACACAGACTGGAGGCAAGAGGTAGCCTCACCTGGGTTCTAGAGGGTTTGGCACTGCTTAGATGTGTGTTCCAATTCTGCACTGTGACCTGGGGCAAGTTCCTTAGCCTCTGTCTGTCTCTCCCAGTTTCTCTATCTGTAAGATAGCAGTAATGATAGTACCCAATTCATAGGGCCGTTAAAATGAGGCCATTCATAGAAAGCACTTAGCACTGTGACTGGCATGAATTGACTGCAAGGGGCTGGATGTAATTGTGACGTGGACTCACCAGAACACCGTCAACACTGGAATATCAACTCCCCATCCCCCCTTACTCTGCTCCCCTCTTTCCTCACCAGTCCCTCCCCTCTTCTCTCAGTTATCTTCTAAGCTCCTTTGCATACAAACTGTTTCCTCCCCTAGATTATTCCCTTTCCTTAAGGACCAAATGGAAACAATAGGCAGAAGCATTTTTAAGTACAAAAAGGGCACAATGTAAATGTGCTGTCATTAGGGTCCAGCATCCTGCCTATGCTCAACATCTTTCGGTTCCATCTACAATGACTGATGAGTTTATAAGTTATCCCCACGGTTCTCACTGATATAATCTTATTGCTTTTTTCTTTTTCTTTTTTTTTTTTTTTTTGCGGTACGCGGGCCTCTCACTGCTGTGGCCTCTCCCGTTGCGGAGCACAGGCTCCGGACGCGCAGGCTCAGTGGCCATGGCTCACGGGCCCAGCCGCTCCGCGGCATGTGGGATCTTCCCGGATCAGGGCACGAACCCGTGTCCCCTGCATCGGCAGGCGGACTCTCAACCACTGCGCCACCAGGGAAGCCCAATCTTATTGCTTTTGATAATGGTAAGTGATCACTGCATACAGAACTATGCAATTTCATTTTTATAACTTTGTAAGGCTCACCGTGTAAATATATTCACACATTGGGAGAAAAGTCCTTTGACAAATCACGTTTTCCAATATTTGGTTCAGAATATTTGTTCCTTGGAATACTGCACTCTAAGATGTAAAGGGACTATTATTTTTTTCCAGTGATATTTCTACAACACAATGGAGCCAGAAACTTCTGCTTGAAATTTGCTTTGTTTTTGTGTAACTTTTGAGTCCCTAGTGGGTTATTCAGAGAGTGTTCAGGTATCGCTGCTGAAAAGGCTATAATGGGGTTGATGATCATATGTGACCAGAGGAAGGTCAATGTCAGTACCCAGAGCAGGGATTCCTTTGAGGGGGAGAGGAGGTTTAGGCAATGCCTGGTGAGCACAGTCTCTCTGCTATTGGATAAAATCACCACAGTTTGGAATAAGCTCCTGCATCCTCACTCTGACCCCTTCTCATGGGACCCCCAAGCTTAAACAAGACACTGCATGTGTAGGGGCTGCAGATGAGGAAGAAGAAAGGAAATCAATAAAAGTTCAAAACCTCATTTGCAAATAAATTCAATATCTGAAGGGAAGATGTCAAAGAGAAACATCAAAGCAAAAATAAAAGACCAAAAGTCTGATAATTATAAATATCTCCAGGAGCCACTGATTCTGTCATCCCTCCTCTGTTATCCCCCTAACACCGTCTCCAGGTAGAACTGTATGGCAGTCCTAGGACACTTGCTTGTCTATCCCACACTGAAGGTTAATGAGGCCTCCCTGGCAAGTCTCCTTTGCTGTCCATTAAAATGAAGCTAAACCACCACAAACTTCATGGGATGCTTCTGTTCTTGGTAGGCATGGAAGGGAGCCCATCACAACATTTCTCATCATACGCTTTTAGCTTTTAGCTGAAGTTAACACTCAATTATATTGTAGTAATGGGGAGATGAGAAACCCTAACTCTAAAAACCATAGAATTCATCAAAGATTGAATAATCAAAGCCCTTCAACCTTTGCCAACAAAAGTCTCTTATCGGACTCACTGAAACATAGCAAAATTAATTAACTTGAATTTCTAGCTTTCTTTCCCTCAACTCAAGTCTGCTTGAAGTTTTAATTAGAAGGAAAGTGTCTAGATGATCAGCAGGGAGATTTCAAGGAGGAGAAGTGAAGCTTTGGAAAATTACAAACTAAATCCATTTGTTAAAAAAATTTTACTGAGCTCCTAGGATATTCAAGACACTCACTGAGAACAGAGCAATAATCAAAAATAGACAAGCTCTCTCATGAAGCTTACATTCTACTAAGGGAGATGGAAAATAAATGAACTAGTAAATAGATAATTGGTCAGATATATAATATTTTGAGTAACCTTAACTATCCTTTAAAGGCACTTTCAAGCTATCTCTTATCATTTTCTTCCCTTGACTAATGAAGTCCAATTATTCAACTCTAGTCAGCAAAACCCTGTAAACACATTATGAGCATAATGATAAGTGAGTGGACACTCGCTTACCTTCAGTTGCTGGTATATTTTCTTCAGTGCATATGCTTCCTCTTCTGTATTGGGAATAAGTCTTATCACCTTATCACTATAAGAAAAGGAAAACAATGGTGATATTTACCTTTCAAAAATAAAGATATAACCATCTCTATCTTCTTACCTTTTAAAAAACTGCCTCTGCATTTAAGAAAAACAGCAAAACTTTGGACTGGCCAGCAGGAATTTTACCCTGTCCTTGTTATTCTCTGATTGTATTGGTCTTTTATTCTCTGTCTGAACACTATTCATTTTTTCATCAGCTTTTGAAGATTACAAACTGACACTCAAGCAGAGAAAGCCCAAAAACACAGGAACAGTGGCAACAGGACAAGAATGCTCATGGTGTCTCAAAGCAGATACCAAGAACGAAAACTCCTGATGACAGGGGAAAAAACCAAACAAACTACTTTTTATTTTTTCAATTAATTAATTAATTTATTTTTGGCTGTGTTGGGTCTTCATGGCCGCACACGGGCTTTCTCTAGTTGCGGCAAGCAGGGTCTGCTCTTCATGGTGGTGTGCGGGCTTCTCTTGTTGTGAAGCATGGGCTGTAGAAGCATGGGCTTCAGTAGTTGTGGCACGCGGGCTCAGTAGTTGTGGCTCACGGGCTCTAGAGCACAGGCTCAGTAGTTGTGGTGCACGGGCTTAGTTGCTCCGCGGCACGTGGGATCTTCCCAGACCAGGGCTCGAACCCATGTCTCCTGCATTGGCAGGCGGATTCTTAACCACTGTGCCACCACGGAAGCCCCAAAACTACTTTTTAAATTTGACTTAATGCTGAAAAATAATGTGACTTTTGATGAGAGAACCTGTGAAATCCATACACAGCAGAACATTTCTGGTTTGGATTCTTCCCACGTTGAGGACAGTAAAGATAAGCCCATCTCTATGGGGCATTTTATTTCTCAAGCACAGAGCTTCCCAACTGGTATATGGAGGGCCCCCAATTATTTGTGGGTGTGCCATGAGATGCTGATGGCTGTAAAATTTTTTATTTTTTTATTCTTATTTTTTTTAATTTATTTTTTATTGAAGTATAGTTGATTTACAATGTGTTGGTTTCTGGTGTACAGCGAAGTGATTCATTTATACATATAAATGTGTTCTTTTTCATGTTCTATTATGGTTTATGCAATATTCTTAAAGTGATAAAAATTTAAAATCAATTTTTACAGCCATTAAAATTTTACCACAGTTGAATATTTGAACACTCTTTATAGATTCTGAATTGCCTAAGAAGACTGGAGGTGTCATGCTTTCCATCAGAGAGTTCTCTGTGGTGGTGACTGCTCCCCCAGGTGTGCCAGACAGGCATTATCATTTTCTAATTATGTCATGAGGCTCTGGTATATAATAATCACAACTATATATGTATAACTGAAGCACTGTGCTGTACACCTGAAGCTAACACATTGTAAATCACCTATACGTCCATAAAAAAGAAATTCATTTATCATAGTAAAAAAATAATCACAACTGTTCCACGTGCTTTGCATGGAGTATATACTTATTAAATATTTATTAGCAGACTGTATAAAGGAGATCATTGAGAATAATTGGCTTCCAGAGGAAACGTAAGGAAAAACTAAGTACAAGGGGAATGCATATTTTTCATCATCCTCTATGGCATTTTACAATGACTGCAGATAAAGAAGAATGTTATTAATACCACGTATATATATAAAGCACAAAAAAAACCCTCTAGCAGTTCAGTCACAACTTCTCTCTCCAGCCTCAAAGTTGTATCAGAATAAGAATAGAATTTGCATGCTTTTCCAATGGTTTTACTACTTAGATGAATAGCAGTCTCGAAGGCTAGGTAAGATTAATATGGAGGACATCAGAGCCCAAGGGAGACTTCCAGATTTGTTGGACAGTCATTCGTAAGGGTTGTGTGTCCATTTCCAATCACTTTAGCTGTATTCTTTCAAATGATCCCGTTACACCTTCCTTAGGCCTATGAATTAAAAGACCCCTGGCTTGCTGATGATAATTTAATATGTTTTAGGTACTCCTATTCAATATGGCTTTGTAGCTTTGATTTCCTCAAAAATCACACAAAGCCACCTCTCACTATCCACGTCACAAAGCCCACTTTTCTGGAAAGAATTAAAAAGTAGAAGGAAAGGAAAAAAATTGAATCACTGTAAAACAACTCCAAAAAATGACTTTCGGAATTTAAACGTAATTACACCTTTTCTTTTTTTCATTTCTGTTTACACATGTCTCTGGCCTTTGTTTTTCCTGGATTCATCATATCCTGGCCTCTCCCACCTGAACCAACATAATTCTTGGCAAAGAGAAACAACTCCTATGGGTGATACGGTTGTTTCTGAGGGATGGATCACTTGACAGCTTGCTGAAAAACACCTCCATCTGGGGCCCTGTCAGCTCCTCAAGAGCACAAAGAAAGCAATCTGTGGTTGTTTCACAGCCATGGGCAGATTCTTTTTTTTTTGTTTTTTTTTTTAAGATGATAGATAATTCAACCTGGCAATTGGGTCCTCCTCTGTGAGTGTAAGGTAAAAGGGGACCACCCCTGGGATTATTTAACCCTGAAAGTGATTGTTCAAACCCAGCTTTGTCATTTTTATCACAAAAAGTTCTCTTCATCTCAGCTTGTAGAAATTTTCAGGTGTGACTTGAGAAATGTTACCATTTGGTTACTTATCAAAGAGCAGAGAATAAGGAAGCTATTTAGGAAAGCCCATGAAATGCCATACTTTTTCGTAAGCCTATAAATTATATCGGTAGACTAGCCAGTAACCAAAACCCAAGAGCTCTTTATTCAGCATGGAAAACCAAATGCCTTCCAAATGCCCCATGTGTTTTACCAAACAGAAAGCTTACTCTCCCTAGATCTGATGGCTAGTCTTTTTCGAAGTGCCGAACGATAATTCAGGACCACAAACAGGAAGTTTTCAGGTAGTGAAGTAGCTACTGGAACTTAGAAAAACTAGCTGTGCACAACTATCATAGAAGGTGAACTGAGGCTTCCTTTATAATTTATCAGTTTTTTCAACCACTACGTGACAACATCATTTTAAGACCACTTGGTTACCCTTTGGGATTAAGACGAGGGTAAATCAGATATTTCTGACTCAGCCTATATAAAGTTGTCAGAGAAAGACTGCAGATGTTTTTTTTTTTTTTTTTTTTTAACATCTTTATTGGGGTATAATTGCTTTACAATGGTGTGTTAGTTTCTGCTTTATAACAAAGTGAATCAGTCATACATAAATATATGTTCCCATATGTCTTCCCTGTTGCGTCTCCCTCCCTCCCACCCTCCCCATCCCACCCCTCCAGGCTGTCACAAAGCACCGAGCCAATATCCCTGTGCCATGCGGCTGTTTTTAAGTACAGTTTAAGGATGTAGTACAGAGGCGGCAGGGTATCCTAGATAACTAATGTCCCAGTAATTATTAATATGTATCCACTCATGATATACTGGTATTTTGTCCCCTTGTCTTACAGGACAAATGAGGTTATGTTGCTATCATGCTAGCATCAAGTCTGGTTGTAAATTTGACGACTAAACCTTCTGTGCCGTAGCAACCACATTAAAAAAATTTAATCAATTGCAAAACTATTCTTAAATGTCTAATGAGAATGTATACTCCTAGAGAAGAGAATTCAGCAAGAGAATACCATCTCAAACTTGTTACCATCTGTCTGGGTCTCAGAGTCCTTGTTACAGGAGTGAGGGGTGAACTCCCAGCTGCTTTTTCATTTTATTTTTAAATTTAATTATATATTTTTTTAACTTTTCTGGACTTATTAGTTTCAGGTGTACAACACAGCGATTCAATATTTTTATAGATTACACACCAAAGTTCTTATAAAATATTGACTATTTTCCCTGTGCTGTACATTACATCCCTGTGGCTTATTTTCTAACTAGCAGTTCGTTCCTCTTAACCCCCTTCACCTATTTCTCCCCTCCCCCTATTTCTCTCCCCTCTGGTAACCACTAGTTTGTTCTCTGAATCTACGAGTCTTTTTCTATTTTGTTATATATATATATTTTAGATTCCACATATAAGTGAAAACACACAGTATTTGTCTTCCTCTGACTTAGTCACTAAGCATAACACCTAAGACTGTGTGGTTGGAGTTTGATGCCAGCTGTAGTCATCGCTATGCCTTGACCACACCTACGGAAGAACATCTGTGTTTGGACAACCTGAGAGTCCTCCTCCTCAGCCTCCTTTTGAAAGACATAAATGTGAAGCTCCGGATTTTTCCTCTAGCTCCTGGCATGACCTTTCACAATTCTATTATCAAACTCTACATTTCTTTGTAAGTTACAGAGCTCGTTTATGAATCCATGTTTATAAAAATTAAAATATTACACAGGATGTGAAATAATAAAGTTCCTCTCCCAGTTCTCTTCCAACCCAAACCTCCCATCTGCCCCTAGTAGCCATTATTAACAGTTTCCTGGGATTCGCGCCAGACTCTTTGCACTTACACATGCACGCATGTGCGCGCGTGCACGCACACACACACAGTGATTTGTTTTATAACACTATAATACTAACTTGCTTTTATTTTTCACTTAATTCATTTTAAATGCTATTTTTCACTTAATTTGGTTTTAAAATGCTCCTTTTAAATAAACAACTGGATTCCATATGATATTTTATTTCAGAGTTTTATACCTATATTCGTAAGGGAGGCTTTTAAAAATCCAACTTTAAAGCATCATGTTCTTTTTGAATCGCTTTTGTCTGATTTTGGTATCAACATTATGCTTACTTCATGGGACTAATTAGGGATTTTTTTACCGTTGTAATATGCGCTGACAATTTGAATGACACAGAAGTTATGCTTCTGATTGTTTTGTAGAATATACTCATAAAATCTTTGAAGGTGAGGCCTCCTCTTCCTTTTTTTTGTTTTTGTTTTTTTCTGGTGGTTAAGGGTTAGATATCTTTTAAATTCTTTTGTGGATAATGGTGTGTTCGGTTCTCTTCTGGGCTTTTGGTAATTTACATTTCCCAGAAAACCATCCACTTATTTTTATAAAATATATTAAACTATTAA